CCCTTCATTCTATTTATATTTAACTTAAATATGAGATATTACAAAGATGCCCTTAGTAGGGCGGCAACTCAAACTAAATAGTTACAACTCTTTTAAAAATAAAAACTAATGGGCCCAAGGCCCAACAACTTCTTAATTTAAAAGAAAATAAACTAAACACAAATTGACCCATTCAACAGTTCCTAGTCAACCCGACCCATCATCTCGTTGGTGGACGCCAAGGTCTTCAACTTCTCCAAGTTGAATTCCAGGCACATCGAGGCCACGGGCATCCGACACARCTTGAATTCCTAACGAAAGGCGTTGGACCCGAACTCCTCCCTCTCCTTCAAGAAGTTTGGGGACGTCTTAAACTCCTCAACTGTGCAGATGTCATTGAGGAACTTCGAGTGTTTCTCTGTGAATTTGGCTTCCTTTTCCTATAAACCTTGGCTCTTGAGCTCCAACTCCTTGCTCAGTTTCTCGACCCTCCTCATTAGGTCTCCGCCGTGGCTCCGTTCCTGTACCAGCTCAGCCTTTAGATCGCTAACAAGTTGACAAGCTCGTTCGAGGCAAGACCTGCACTCCATAGCCTCCTCCTCTAAAGTTCGAGCCCTCGCTAGATCTCCCTCAGCCTGCTCTAGCATAGGGGTGAGCATTCGGTTTATTCAATTCAATTTTTAAAACCGAAATAAAAAAATGAAAACCGAACTGAAACCGAATTACAATAAAACTTAAATAACCAAATTTTCGGTTCGGTTTTCAGTTATTTCGGTTAAAAGCCAAATTTAATTAATATATAATATTATATATTATAGATTATAATATATATTATGAAATTTAATTTCATTATAATACATTATATATAATATATGAATATATAAATATAAAGCATATTATATATTGTATATTATATATTATATAATGAATTTTAGTTAACTCGACTTTTTCAGTTAACCTAATTACCCAAAATTTTCGGTTCGGTAATTTGGTTTTAACTGAATAATGCTCACCCCTACTCCAATAGGGAGTGTGTCAGGGTGTTCACCTAAAAAAGAGAGAGAAAGAGAAATGAGTAGATATATATGTTCGGAATGGAAATCAGGACAAGTACAATTGGGAAAGTCAGGAACATACCACCATAAGGCAATGTGTGAGCTTCCTGTCGAACTCATTGGGGTATGATTCGCCGAGCTCTGTGACCTCTTTTGGAAAGACGGCCTCCTTGTTCTTCACTAGAGCAGTCCGAAAGTCCATAATGGTGTGCTTGTCCTCAACAACGATCTTAGCCCCGAGTGATGGAAGAGGCTCCTCAGAAGTCTAGGCTGCCTCGGCCTCTGGTTGGTCTTCCTCAACCCTATCAACTACTAACACGGCTTCGGCTGCACTCCTCTTGGTAGGCTCGGGAGCAATGACTTGAGGAGCCTCATGGGAAGTCACCTTCCTCTTTTTCCTCTTCATGGCCTAGAACAGCCCGAAAGTTGTCACGCCCAACATGTTTCCTGCATGGGAAGTCAAAAGATGAGTCAAATCAAAAGAGGGAAAGGAAAATGCCTGAACTTGGAAGGACGACCTACTTGGAGGACTCAACCCAGCCTGGATCAGCTTCTCCTTGGCCAAGAATTCACTTAGCTTCGACCTCTTGTCCACTAAGACCTGCACCCTTATCTGCATTTGTTCACTCAGTGTATCCTCCCCGGTATCCCTAGTCCCCTTTGTCCAGGTCGTTGGGAATGAGCATCCATCACTTTGGTCAAGGAAGAAATACTTCCTCTTCCAGCCCGCTACCTTGGAGGGGTAGCCATTTAGCAGCTTACACCTAGAGTGGTAGGACACATAGTAGCTATAMATCTCGGAGGGATTTTGCTTTAATTGGCATATGCTGGCGAAGGTCTTGACATCTAAAGGGAAGCTGACATGGTGATTGAACAAGATGGTCCCGACCAAGGTCCTAATAGAATTGGGGTAAAGCTGACCTAAGTTGATGTTGTWGTAGTTCAATACCTTGGGAATAAGTGGATGAAGGGGGAACAGAAGGCCCACTTTCAGGGCCTCCTTGAAGACGGTGATCTCGTCCTCATCATGCTCCCAGGGGTACTGCCCAAGGGGAAGGGAATAACCAAACTGGTCTGGGATCCTATATTGTGCCACGAGCTCGTAAACGTCCTTGGCAATTAGCTCGGTGGGACTGAACTCGGACTT